ACATTCGTGTGGCAAGCATTGAATTGCCCAGTGTTTCTCTGTTATATTATCGGTTATGATGTTGCCGCCAGTGCTGAAGTGAGTATTTGAAGTCTCCGATGGTATTGTATTGGGGTCTATTTCTCGTTACTGTCTTGACATATTTACTGTTATATACTCTGGGTGCTCCATTGTGGAGTTTGATATAGTGATTATCAAGTTTTATATCTTTCTTGGTAGAATTGCACCGCCTTTATCATTAAATAATGACCTGTTTTTCTTTCTTTTACGTTTTTTGTCTTGAATCTATTTATCTGTAAGAATAATACGCTATTGCTCTCACTTTTTGGTTTCATTTGCATAGAATATCTTTTCTCCATCCTTTATATTTCAGTCTATTGTAGGTTTTAAAGAGTGAAGGTTGGATTCTTGTAGACGCACCATAAAGTTAATCTTATTTTTAATCCATTCAGTCCACTCTGCTTTTCCAGTTGCATGGGTTAGTACATATCACATTTAGTGTTATTATTGAAGGTAAGGACTTAATAACTGCCATGGTGTTATTGAATTTCTAGTTGTTTTGTTGTTTCTTTCTCCATGCCTCCTGTCCGTCTTTTGTTAAAAGGAATTTTCTCTGGTGGTGTGTTTAATTGTGCTTTTTTTTGTGTGTCTTGTTAGATTATTTGATTAAAATTACGTGAGGCCTGTAAAAAACATAACATTATTTAACCATAGACAACTCTGTTTATAAACAGACAAATCAGCAAGAGAAATCTAACAGAAATTCTACTACACTGTTAACTCCATTTCCCACTTTTTAAACTTTTATTGTCCCCATCTATATCTTTGATACCTTTCTCAAAAAGTTATAAGTTATTTTGATAAGTAGTCTTTTAGTCTTTTCTTCTCGATATAAATGGGTAAATAACCATGAGTTTAGAGCAATAGAATATCTATATTTGTGTGCTTACTGTTTCCAGTGAGTTGTAACTTAGAAGATTCTTATTGTTATTAACATCATTTTTATTTAAGATCAAGCCCTTTTAGGCATTCTTGTAGGACAGTCTGTTGTTGGTGAAATCTCTCAGCTTTTGTGCCTGGGAAGTCTTATTCTCTCCTCCTTTTTGAAGGACATATTTACAGGACCATAATATTAAAAGTAAGGATTTCCTTTGGTACTTTGAAACATCGCCATGCCACTGTTTTCTGGCCTGTGAGATTTCCACTGACACGTCTGCGTCATACAATGGAGCTGCTTTATATGTTATATTATTTTTTTTCTTTTCTTGCTTCACTTGGGACCTTTTAAATCCTTGACTTTGGAGCTTGTTATTAATGTCTTGTAGTTGTTGTTGGATTCATCTGCTTGTGTTTGTGACCTCTCATACCTCAATATTGTATCTTTCCTCTTGGTTAAATGTTTTCTCATTATTATTTGAATATCTTTCTACTGAGTTCTTTTATGCTGATAACTCTTAAATTTGCCCGTTTTGGACTATTTTCTAGATTTTGTAGACATATGTCATTCTTTTTAATTATTTTCTTTTCTAACGTGTATTTTGAACATAGGCTGTCTTCATGCTCATGAATTCTCTCTTTAGTTTGGTCCATTTTCCTGTTGAGAGACTCTAGTGCATTTCTCATTGTCTATTGAATTCTCAGCCTCAGAATTTCTACTTCATTTTCTAAAATTATTTCAATTCTTTGTTAAATCTTCTGATCGCTTCCTGATTCCTTCTCTGTGTTGTCTTGAAGTTTCAATGAGCTTCTTCAGGACAGCTATTTGAAATTTTTGTCTAAAAGTCATATATTCGCATCACGTCTAGGACTGGTTCTGGCACCTTATTCATTTGTTGAGGTCATTTTCTGGATGTTCCTGAATGCTTTTGGAAGTTCATCAGTGTTGAGCTTGAAGCAGTTAGGTATTATTTAAATCTTGAAGTCTGTGATCTGTTGAAACCCTCCTTCTTAAAGATGGTTCCTGATATCAAAGGAGAATAGAGCATGTGGATCTAAGCTTTAGTAACTACAGCTTATAGCACACTGGAGGTACCCCTAGCCCAGTGATGCTGTCGACTCGTTGCAGCACTCCTGGTGTAGCCTTGATGGACTGGGTAGATACCAGGCATTATCGGATTACCAGGCAAATTCTTCATCCTCTTCCTCACTCCTGTGCTGGGCTACTCATGTTGGTTGAAGGAGTGATGGCACTCCCTCCTTGGGCACCACAGCTCACGGGACCGTGCAGGTCACACTGAAGCTATTCCATTCTCACCAAAGCCCCTGATGATTGTTATCTGGCTAACATCTGATGTTTATCAAGCCAAGGTCTTCATTCAGCAGGTGTTGAACCTGCCAAGACTGGGTCTCTCTTTAAGGCAGTGTGTTTTCTTCTGGACCAGGATGTGTCTAGAAATTGCCATCCAGTAACTAAGGGCTGCAACTCAGGTTTCCGAAGGCGCCCTATGGTAT